AGTTTTATTGCAAGGGTTTGGGGAAGAGCTGGGAAGCAAAGCACATCTGGGTTCGAGTTTTGCTACCAGAAGACTCAAATCAGAGTTGTTAGAAAATGCATTACAAACATTTTGGATGAGCCCGTGTTCAACTCTAACCAACCTAGCACCAATTATACGAGGTCTGAGCCGCCCTCTGGGCTTCCTAAAAACTACTATGATACATGTGCCAGTGCTACTCCTAAGAGTACTGAGTGGTTTATACATATGAGGAGTTTCAAGGCCACAATCTAGGCAGGGCATTTCAAGTATGTTTTATTATTTTTACACATTAAACATGCAGTGGGGGAAAACTGGTAGAAATTGGACAAATCTTTAGCATGATTAAAACAACTTCTTGGTGTTCACACAGAATTAAACTGTACCTTTTCTGTCTTTGCAACCATATTAGAATGACAAACAAAATATTTAAGCCTCCCCCACACCTATCATGAGGACACAAAAGGAAGATGCATAATCTGAAATTACTGGCATTAGATCCTTATGTGATTCACTGTACAAGAACGGATTTTTTCTATTCCACCAATTTTCCCTTTTCCCTTTCGTTTGAGAATGTCCTTTCTCTGCTAGTGTTCATCAAGCCTCTATCAATATTACAGCCACATATCAGGAGCTGTCAGTGAGCTGCGACTGTCACCTGTGGCAAAGTGGAAACATGCACAGGACTCAGCTAGAGACTAGCTTAAATGCATTAAAAACATTCCATTAGTCATGTAGGTCTTTCATCCAGCTGTCCTTTAAGAAAGTGGCTTGACCAAACAGCATAATTTTCTTAAAAACTCTGTAAGTAAAAAATTTCACACATGCATGCACACTTTCCATAGTTAGTGGAAAAGCTGCGCAGAAGCCAGAGTTCATGCATTCCAATGCTACCTGTAGACAATACTGCTCAGACAAGGTTCCTATCTGACCACAGTATTCACTGTCTCTTACTTCAATAAAATATTCATGGTATATCAGTGAATAGCTGCAAATCTGAGTAATTCTTAAAATCTAAGGAACAATTAGAAGACCATAATTCTCCTAAGCAGTGTAACCACTGTCAATAACAGTTCAGTGATTACCTTTTATTCATATTTTTATATATCCTGTGAAACTTCATGAAGCAATGATAATAGCCTCCCACTCACATTCCTGAATGACAAGAACAGAAATCCATTAATATGATTGTGCTACTTCAGCAGCTTCAGCACCATTCTTCTTTAACTCCGTGAATAATAACTGATGGATACTAGATCCTGAAAGAATTAAAGAAAAAACCCCAAAAACCCCTAACATGGCACCTTGCTGCTGCATTTTCGTTAGAACTATTCCACAAATTATGGTTGTGCAAGTCACCTCATGCAAATTTACCACCAGCTCGCATCACATCAGTGCTGAAACAAGATGGATCGACTTCTACGACTGTGAACATGTTCCTTCCCGTGCACGTCCCACAGGGCTCAGCACACCGACACTCTCTGATGTTAAGCCACGATACTTTGCTTCCCTGTGTATTGAGCCTGCTATAAACCCATCCCTGGAGAGTGTAATGATTACATAATTAAATATGCCTTTGTTGTCATGACTAAAATTCAATTTTCTCCCTATAACAAAGGTGTGAGAAAAAGAAGATAACAGTCACATTATTTAAAATACAGGGAAATGTACAATGCAACTACTTTGCATTATTCTAATTCTCAACACATAAGCTAGTGCAAAGTCATAAAAGTATTACAGTATACCGTATTATCATTACCTAATAGCAATGTTAGTATTATTGCTTTCAGATCTGATGCAGCAATCTTCTGCTGGCATCCTACCCACAAGCATTTCTGTAATGAAAGACTTCCAAAAATACCACTTGCAGGCCTTTTTTAATTTCAGCTGTTTTTAACCATTTGTTCCCTTGACCACATAACTGGCTGACTTGAGATGAAGACCATCATTACAAGACAAAGACCATTCAGGTGAACCCTGATGCACCGCACTACACAAATCCTTAACACTGAATAATCACACAACAATTATGCAACTGCCGACCCAGATTACTTAACATTTTAAAATTGTCTTTAACTAGTAAATAATATACTAAAGAACCTCATCGATTTTGCCCCATGTCTTGTGTGTTATCATTCACTGAAGATACACTTGATATCAATTACTTGTTATTTATAGTCTTTAACAGTAAAAAGATAGAGATTGAATTCTCAGTTACTTGTTTTGATTTCAGGGCTTATTTCCCACAGCTGTGGAAGAAACGTGCCACATAGTGATGAAAATAATACTATTTCTCTACTGAAAATTATGTGCCACTACTGAAGAAGCTCTTTTTCACCTAGGTGGAAGCGATGTAAAGAACATCTATTTTGAAACATGTTTATGACACAAGGCACCATTAATGAGTACTCAACAAGTTGAAATTAATTATTCTATCAATCTAGAAGAAAACAGACAAAAGTAAATTGTATAGAGGAATAAATTGTGGCTGGACCTGTGCATAAGTAGATGTATAGGTAGCACGTAACAACACTGATCAGTGTAATGAGGTTATCTTATTTTTAAGCCTTTTTGCCCTTACCACACTACCTGTAGATGCAGGGTTGTGTTTTCTGCCTAAAGACTATTACAAGACAAACAAATAAACAATTTGGTTTAGATTATTACCAAAGTTGACCTAGTTAGCATGCATTTGATGAGCTATTTGTAGAAGCAGACACATTGCCAAATATAGTTTT